CACGCTGCTGGATATGGAGGGGGTGGAGGACGTCCGGGACTACCTGGCCCAGAAGGCCAAGGGCCTGGCGAGGAGCGCGTTGTCCAACGGCGTGTCCCTGGTGCCCCTGGGGCACGGCGTTGGGTCCGAGGTGCGGCAATCCTAGTGAGGGGGGAGGACTGGGGGGTGGTAGGCTTGCATGGAGGGGATCCATGGTTCGCATTTGCCTTGGCAGGGCGAGGTGGTGCCCTGTGAGGGGTGTGTCTGTGTTTTTGTGTGGGGCGGCGGCAGGAAGTGGATTTTGGGGAGGGGGTTTGGAGTCGTGGTGTGGGGGCCCGATGGTGAGCCGGTGGGGTGGATGGATTGCGGAGGCAGGGCCATTGTAGGGAGGCAGAGCTGTTGTAGGCAGACAGGGCGGCGGGCGGCCACCAACGAATGAGTTCATGGTTTCAAGGTGTGAGGGCTGTGTGTCAGAGCAGGCAGGGGTGGCTGCCCTGAAAGGTGCCCGCCTGTGTAGATATGCGGGCCCCTGGGCCGAATGCTCGCCTGTGCACTTCCTGATGAAGTCTGCGGTGAACTTCAGGGTGAACTTCGCCTGACCTTCTGATGTGTGTGGAGGCTGGGGAGTGTGATGGGGCCCCGTAGTGGCTGTTAGATGGTGGGATTGCTCTCCTCGTCTTGGCAACCTTGCTTGCAAGGCTGTTGGTATTCAGTCAAGCACTCTTCTTGCTCTGTTCAAGTTGATGAAGACACGAATTTGTTTGCCGCCTAGCCATGGTGGTGCTGATGCCTTGTTGAGTGCTCCCTGCGCTCAAGGCAACTCTACTTACAGTTTGGCGCCCTGTGCCGGGCAGCTTATTTACGGGGCGGAAAGGGCTAGAGTGCCAGTGAATAGCCACCTGTGGACATGCAGAGTGCGAGAAGTCGGATTTTGTTGGACAAGCCTTCACACAAGAGGAGAGATTTGTTGGGGGAGTGGGTCTTTTACGTCCGCCTCCTTGGCAGCGAATTTTGAGGCCCGTGGGTGGGGTCACACAGTCCTTGTTGCAAGTCGTAATGTGTGCTTCTTGGGGCTTCAAGGGGTGTCACCACATTTGGAGGTAGCTGGGGTTGGTCATTCTGATCGAGAAGTGCAGTGTGTCGCTGCCAATTGATCCAGAGAGTTGCTGTGGGACCACGGCCAGAGTTCATAGCTAGGTAGCATGCCGGGGCAGAGGGGCTGTGAGGGCAGAATGTTTGACTCGAGATAATGGTCTTTGTGGAAGGATTGGTCCAACGTGAGTCGCTCCTGGACCAGGTGATGTGTCATGGGAACGGTCGCATGTGTAGCATAGCAGCTGCCAGGGATGCGTGCAGTAAGAATCGTGGTTGTGTGAACTTTGCCGCTGCCTGCTGACCACTGTTCATCCGTCGACCATCTCGAAGTCTCCCTCTGAGGGCAACAACGGAAGCATAGAGGGACATGTGTAGCCTTGTGGACGCTAAGCCCCATCGTTCTCAACTCTATCGTATCAGCACAACTTGTGAGCGTAATCACAATCCATGCCTAATGAGCTGACTACGGGCAGCGTTGGCTGTCATGTCTGGTTCAGCGGCAGAATTTGTCCAACAGCTATGTTGGGGTGTGCGGTGGCACACTGGGCATTTTACTGAATAGAGAAAGTGCTGGCACTCCTTGGTGTCTTCAAGCAGCCATCTGTAACGACAGTCCACCGAATGGTGTATCGGGAAAAGGCACCTTTGACCCACTGCTCTGCGCCACCCAAGCTGCAGCAGAAATTTGAGTTGCATTCTTGAAAGACAGACCAGAGCAAGTTAGTGGCGTGGGCAGAGTTGACAATCTTCATGAACAGAGCGGTGTGGTACTGCTGTGCAACAAGGGAGAACCCAGTGATCAGGTACCAGCAACATCCGCAATAAGCGCAGAATGGACAGCGAGAATGCATCAACGTCCAGAACGTGTTGGAGACTACGATCTGCGGACTGAGGGCAATAACGCTGGGAAGGTGAGGATCGCGATGGTTTGTGAATCGAGCCGCATTGGCTTTCAGGTCAGCATGTTGTCCATCCTCTCTGGATAAATGTGGAGAACTGGGGATAGCCTTGTGTCCACATGTTCCTCATCAATTGGAATTGCAGCCACAACATCTGTCATATCGCTGCTTACTTTTTGGCTTTGTTGATGAACCAGCGTTGATCAACGTTTTTGAGCATTTGGTATGTAAATGCCCTAGTCGCACGAATCGTACCCTAATTGGGCAACAGTAGCGATTCCTCTTACAAGAAATGACACTCTGTCGATCTTGATATGCTTGATGCCAAATTGACAGGAAGCTCCAAAACACCTTAGACAGCCAGTTCTTGTGTCGGTGGCTGCAAGACTCAGCAACATTGCATAAGAGCACGATGCAGCATATCAATGCAGAAGATGGAGCAACCACATGTTGGGAAAAAGGGGCAGATTTGCTGGAGAAACGCAGACTATGATCACCACAGCATTTGTGGCGGGTAGAAAACGGGAAATGCTTGATGCGATGGTTGGCGATTGGGACAGCCCTAGATGCTGTCACTTTAGACATTCTGTGGGCCACTTTGGGAGATTGAGCGTTGGAGGGGGCCTTTCGAACGCGTCATGGGTCTCCCCAAACGAACTTGGTTTGTGCCTCTTGTGTGGGTTTTGTTCCAATTGCACAGTACCCCACCATAGCGGGACCCCAGTCCCTTGCCCGTCAATTCAGCATCCAGCGCACAGAAATCGACTTCTTGTGGCATCCCCAGCACCGCAATTAGTGCTGTCATCACCGAGACCTCACCCACGAAGAACATGACGGAAGCGCCGTTTTGCGCGTTTAAGAGCTCATGGGCCGAGGGCCGAGTTCACAGCCCCACAAAGGGGGCAAAGGGGACAGATGCCCGCAGGATCCTTCCCACCGACCGCAGGGGCGACGAGCATTTAACACACAACCCCGATTCTTCCCCCAATTCACCCCGCACGCCCAAAATGCCTCCCGCCGCAACCTCCTGCTCGTTACCCGCCTCTCCCGCGGCCCCTTCGAAAGCCGGAGGCGGGCCGGAGCGCCTGGTCGGGTGCAGGCAGCGACCGGAGCTGCGCAGGGCGGGCGGCTTGCAAGATGGCCACCGCGTTAGCCGGAAAGGATTTGTGGCAGGGCTGGTGGGGGCGGCATTGATCTTGACCAGCGAGGAGCCGTCGCGCGCGTTGGGGTACGGAAAGGGATGCGGATGAGTAGAAATACTGCCATGGACCGTGGCGGGGTCCGTGCCGCCGCGCACCTTTTAGCCAGGATTGTGATCGCGAATTTGTCGTCTGATCAAACTGTCCCAGGTGCGCTTGTGCGGGCGCTTTGTCGCGCCATCGCCTGCCAAGTGCGGGGGCGTTTTGTTCGCTTAGGAGCAGACGGAGTCGACGGAAGCCGCAAGGGAAAGATGGAAGTCAGCGCCAGTGACTGCCGTGGATGCAGCTTTATGATGCCTGTTCTTGCTCTGCCTTTAGAGACTTCATCGCCCGTGACAGTACGGGACAATAGGGTCTCATGATCTCGTGCATAGGAGGGGGTGAGCACTGTGTGACATGTTGCTCTTGCCTGTGCATATGGACGCCACTGCACAGTCTTCTGCAGCGTGGGACAGATGCCTATAACTTGTTGGTTAGGAAGGCAAGGCGAACTGCCTGACAAACTTTCCCTTTTGGTCAAGAAGACAATTTTTCACCGTTCCATACGCGCAGAACTGTGATCTGGACATGTCGATCCAGCATGCATTGGATGCGATGCTCCTTGGTGGATGGGCTTTGTTCGCCTCGTCTCTTGGCTAATGTTATCCACCCCAGATTGTCATCATGGAATGCAATGACCAGCACTGAATCGGCATGGTCGTCTAGTTGCGAGCCTTGTGTTGAAGCTTCTGATTTGGACTTTTGCAGTGCAGCTGTGGTGTTGCGCTGCACCAAGGGGCTGCCTGATGAATATGCAGACACTGTACTGCAATGCACATGAAGTTTGCTGTTGCCACAGCACTGCAGACACTGTTGTCCATGACACCAAAACGAGGTGTACTACAAAATTTGGCTGTTTAATCAAGCCTGCACACTCCTAGGTGACGTACAGTGGTGCTGCTGCGGACAGTGATTCACAAAGATTGATCCCTGTCCATACATGCTGGAATTGCAAGAAGCAGTAGTCCAAGATTATAGTCAACAAGTGGGTCCATTTGCTGAATATCTACTACCAACAAAACGTTTGGCATATCTTAACCTAATGTTGTGGTTTTGTTTACTCAGTTTTATGGAATATTGCTTTTATTGACTTTGGACAGGTTTAATCTCTCTATTCCACTTGTTCAAACCAAACAAGGCCCTGTCTTGTCACCTGTTAGTTGATGTTGGAACAACGTCAGTGCCAGTTGGAGTGCGAACTAGAGCATTCTGCTTGGCATGATTGTGCTGTCCTAGTGACAAGAGTGCAAACTATAAGATTGTGCTTGGCGTGATTGTGCTGTCCTGCTGAGAAGACTGTCCTGATGGTCTCCCAGATTCAAGAAGGAGTTAAAGAAGCGGAAAATTGATCTGTCAGAATATTCGCAGTCAAGTGAGTGGTGGTAGTTGTTTGTCAGTTGTTTTGCTGGGCGGAGGCCAGAGGAGGGCCAGAATTTCAGCCTTGCATCATCAGAGAGTTGGAAGCATCTGTTGCCCTGAGTTGTGATGCAGAAAATGCACTCACTGTGGAAAAAAGGAGTTATGGCGCAACAAATGTGCTACACACATTATGGCATACATCCTTAATCTTGTGCTTCAGAAAGGAGACTTTCCTTTCATCCCTTCTCTAATTTTTAGGTGTAGATTTCTGTGTGCTCGACTTTGCCTGCAATGTGCAGAGGAACTCTTTGTATCGTTGCCTCACAACCAAACGTTGTGAAAACACATGTGTACATCACAAGACCACCCCCTGTGCCTTCTGGAGCTTGAGTATCAGCACTGGTCTGTGCTTTCAGGTTATGATGGATTGATGATTTATGACACTGTTCTTGGTCAAGGACCTGCAATAGAGAAAGGACAGACAGTTGTGGTACGTTGTAGCTTGGGGCGGCTGGCTGGCTTTGCTACCACAGTGGCCAGTGTGCATCTACTTGATGTGAACAGTAGGCTGCTGTTTTGTGAAGTGACTAAGCCATAAGAGGTGCTTGGTATTGAGCTAGCAGCTGTGCAGCTCCAACAACTCCATTTACAGTTTAGAATTGTAATGCAAAAGTTGAAATTAAATGGATATTAAATTAAATGTGTAAGTTACATTTTTCTTCCTTGCTTGTTTGAGCTGTCAAGCCTCAGTGCTGGCACGAAGCCACCCATGTTCTATTCGCATCATCACTTTTCTTCATCCCTCACAGCCATTCCCTACTGCACTCCTTGCATGGCTTGGTGTCTTCTTGGACTTCCAGATGTGTGCATCGCTCTCAGAGCGCTCAGGAGAGTAGCAATCGAAGGGAACAGATCAAGGTGTCTCCTTTGGCTGTTCCTAGAGATGCTGGATGTGCCCTTTCTGGGCCAGCGAATGTTATTCCACAGCAACATCGGCACACCACTGGGGTGCAATTGTTGAGCAACAGACTCAGCCTCCCAGAACAAAGAAAGAAATAGAAGTCACTGTGCCGGTGCCAAGTATCTGATGTTGAAGGGCTTGCATTCGTGCCACTTCGCTTCTCTTAGTTCTCAGATCTTCTAAGTTTTGTAGCGTGTGTACAATATACTTCTGGACAATTGACAATAATGTGTTGCACTCTGCATTTCACAATGTGGAAATGGGCATGCACAAGGTTCCAGAATCCAGCATTATACTTGCAGCATGCGATTGCAAGCCAGCTCAGGTCAAATTTCCAGTACAATCTTCTGGCAACAATGCAATTTGCGTGTGGCAGTGCAGGCTTTGATGCAGTCATCGATGACGATGGGAATTCGTACCTTAGGAGATGCCTGTCATAGCCAGCTAGCTTTATTACCTTTCGGCGGCAAGGCGAGTGTGCAACGGGGCACATGAAGTTGACTCATGTCAATGGCTGCATTTGAAGGTTCACTTTGACTGCCGCTACCTTGGCCTTGACGTCGTTTCCTCAAGGCTTGCCAGGACGCTGGGCGGCAACAGAGTCGTTGCTGAGGTGAGGCAGTTTTGGAAGTATCAGTTGATCGTGCCGCATTGTGGTGTTGAAGCGCCATAGATTGCATTTGTCAAGATGCCATAACAAATAAAGTACTTGCACACAGCAGGCAGTTGCTGGTGCAGATAGATCCAGTGCCTTTGTTCCTCCAATGTTTCAATGGTTACAACTTCCTACACACTGTACTGTGGCTACTGTTTCTCATTTCCAACCTCAAGTCTTGTGTATGTCTCGTATGTCTATCTGTGAACATGCCTTGAGGCGTCTGGCGCTGGCTGACCTGTCGCTGAGATGAACTGATCCTAGCTTCCATGGGGACCGTCAGCAACAATGCAGCAGGAGTCAATTGTAAACGTAACACAGTGTTGTAGATCTGTTGCGCAATGCAACTAATTGGCTGGTTCGTATTTCCTAGTATCCCCTTGGTAAAACGAACTGGCAGAGGTTTGTATCTTACCCAACCATCGGAGAGTTTTGCTGCATCAATTCCCGTGTGTGCATTTGACAGATAGCTGCCCGTGTTTCTCAATATGGTTTGGTGCGCATCAAGGCTTTGGAATCGTGCATGTCACGATTGACTGTGCGTCACTTGTACCACAGCCAAAGATGGGACCATTCTTTCACCGTGGCTCTGATACTTCTCTTGTGCTCATCAGCCGTTCGAGTTTGTTGCTGGGGGCACTGTTGAGGCAAGAAACGTTACTGCGGGCACTCAGGCAGGAGGCCTCTTCGTGGGCGGCTCAGGACCCAAGCCTCCGCCGGCCCTATCAACAGCTGTGCTGGGCATGCGGGAAGGAGGCAAGGTGTGTGAGTGCCAAGCTGTGGCAAGTTCAATCCCTGCAAGGCCTTGGAGGCCACGGGATTATCCAGGGCAGTATGACCTGCTTCCCAAAGCCTGGGATTCCAGGACCATAAAATGTGGGAAACTAAGGGAAGACAGCACAGAAATATGGCCATGTGCTAACGCTGGGTGCCTGTTGGTTTGTGATTCGATCACTTGTTTTGTTGGTTAGGCTCTGCATTGAATTCCGATTCTCAAATGTGTCCTGAATTGCGCTGGCATCTTGACGAGAGGAGACCTATAGGGCGGCGACCACAACATGTTGTGACATGAGAATATATAGGAGAATATATGAGAATACCTAATATACATGAGGATATATAATGTATGGACCGAGAAGCAGAAAACCATTCTTTGCTTGTTTTTCGCTTGTTGTCTGCAATGCCCACATGAAATCCTGCTGCAGCATTGGACTCTTTGCTTCCTTGTGCCATTACTCTTCTGCACATTGCCGTTTGATTCCCATGTGCCAAGCTCAAAAACCCTTCGGTACTTGGATCTTGGGACCCATTGCAAATGATCGTTGCAATACCGCCGTTTTACGTTTCTTGGTGAACTTTGACTGACCTGTGCCTGCTTTTTTGGCAGCACTTGACACCAGTTGTCGTGCCCCTGCAGCGCTCCATACTCGTGACTCCAGAGCTTGGGTATGGAGAGAAGGGCGAGCAAGAGATTCCGCCCAACACGCCATTCGAACTCCAGGTCGAAGTGCTCGAGGTGAAGGCGTGAAGCTGTCCCTGATCGGGTCCACCGTTGGAACGCAGACGCTGTTCCACACATCTCCTAGCGCCACCTGCATCATTGTGCAGAGCGCTGACACTCACGTTTCCTTGAGGTCCCCAGTTGCCAACCTGGCGGCTGGCACAGTTCACCGGCAATTTCACACAGTGTGACATTTTGCAGCGCAAATGTCTTGCGCTGGCAGCTGTGTTTTCCCCAACTTGCCGGACAACGTCGGAATGGTGGTTGTGGGGTGGCCACCTCCCCAGCCATAGCATCTGCGGTCCAGATCCAGGGCGGCAATTCGGGCAACACAAAAGCAACGGGAATTACGTCAAGAGAAAGACCCCACGCTGCCTGGCCCACTGTCTGCTGGCCCGCGCCCTGGCCCAAAGGGCCCCGACTTTCTCTGGCATCCTCTTCTGCAAGACCTCCCGCTCTCTTAGAACAACTCGCTGAATCACTGCCGCAGTATATGCAACCCTGCCGCATCAGAAGACGTTGCCGTGACGCGTTCTGCCCTGCACTGTTTTGTCGAAGCGTCATTCATTTTGAGACCACAGCTTCGCACAAATTTGTCGAAAGAGCGTTACTTATTTTACTGTTTTGTCTGCAAAAAACGACCCGACGTTACGTCACGATGCGGACGGGCTGACTGTACTACAGTACCCATCGTCTTCCGAGTCCATCAAGCGCAGCAGCTCCCGTCCACTCCTTCTCCCCACCTCCGCCCCCCCCCCCCCCCACCTCCACCCCATGGCCTCGCTGCCTCCGCGCTCAACACACCATCCGCATCCCCGACCTCCCCCGTTTGGGGGGCCGCTTCTTCCCAGCGACTCTGCGGGTGTTCCGATTTGGGCCTGTGCTTAATGCACCCCCATTTGCAGCGCTGAGCCCACCTTGTTTGCTGGTTGGAAGCGCTTCCAACCAGCGCTAGCGCTCAGCGGCTGTCCATGTCAACCTGCATGGTTTTGTGTCACCCGCTCTGCGTTTAGTGAGAACGTGGATGATAAGCACACCACTGAACCGGATGTTACCAGGGCGGGGAATGGTACCGATCACGTGGGAAGGGTGCACGGCGACTTTACCAAAACGCAGTCAATCGTCGTATGCCAATCATGCGTCATCATCATCATCATCATCATCATCATTTTTACAGAACAGGGCAATAAGGCAGCCGTCAGCTTCCTATTATGCTCGAGCAAAGCGGAGTTTGTGATCAGTTCGTTGATCTAGTGCTGACACAAACATATTCCATGAGTCTATTAATTCCCAATGCCCAGAAGCGATTTTCAATGATAATACATCAAGGTAAGTGTCCTCGCCAGTTGGCTGGCAGGAATCGAAGAAAGCAGTGGCTCTGCATTGCAGCATCGAAAAATGTAAGGGTGGTCTCGACGGATGTTATCATAGGCGTGGCAGAGGAAAACGTGTCACTATTTGAGCGAAGCAGCAGTATGAATGACAGCAAATTCAATAGCGCCTTGCGCAACTTCGGTGAGGCTTGTTTTCTGGCTTGTGCCACCCACATTCTAATGGAGGATGGACAGCGGCCGCAAGCAGGTGGAGAAGCGCAGCCGGCGTGTCTTTCTGCCCTGCGCTGATCTGTCGGCGCTGTTCCGGCTGCCGGCCTGGCTACCAAGCAGGTCCTAGTCAGGCGTAACATTCGCGCACATCAGGGCCCAAAATACGCTGGTAAGGGCTGCCAAATATCTTCTGTCACCAGATGACTATTGCGTCTTGGACACGGCGGAGGCACCGCGCCCCTTTCCAGCCACGCCCTGCGACACAGTCACGTGGTCGCGGGGGCGGTCGGGGGAAGGCCGCAACAGCTGCAGTTCGGATTTCGCTGCCTCTGGGAACCTCGGCTCTGACGCAATGCCGCCGCAGTTGTGTTGGCCGTGAGGCAACTCGGAAAAGGGTCTGGGACTCTGAGTTCCGTTGCAGCACCAGGTGAAGCGTATTTTCGTGACGTCAGCTCGTTACTCCGTGTTGTGGCTGCGTGCTGTATCACAGAACTTGTTGTTTTTGATGCTTTTGTGTGTGGGAAACTGCGCATGGGCGATGATGTCATGCAGTGCGGGCAGCGTTTCATCGGCCGTGTGCAGCCCTTAGGCTCTCCCACTGGGACCGTGGCGGACCTCAGCGCTGCCTGATTCCGAAGGGGGGGGGGGGGGGGGGGGGGGGGGGGGGGGGGGGGGGGGGGGGTGTCTGTCGTAGGCGTGTTGTTTCCCTGCTGTGGAGGAACTGCGCCTGTGTCAGGCGCCCTGGTTGTGGGCCTGCGTTGCAGTGCCTCTCAGCGATGCCGGCCATTGACGACAGCAGCAAGGAGACGCAAGTCGGCGGCTGCGCACGCACAGAGAGCCCATGTTGCACAATGGTGAGGAGCTCGCCGTCATCACTGTGCTGCTCAAATCCCTTGATTACATCTGTCACATAGACAGGACAAAGCACCCTGCACATTACAGGCGATTTTCTATCGCTGTGCTGCCATGCTTGAACTGTTTCATCTATGGACACATTTTGGTGCGGCGTCGTGGAGGTTTCTGAGTTGATGTACAAATGCTCTCTTGAACGTCGCTGAGGAGAGCAGTAGCTTAAACGGCCCACAGGAAGATCTGCGGATCGCACTGGATTCACTTTTGATGGTATGTATCAGCAGGGCTCACAGAGGTTGCCCAAGTTGCACATGGTTTTCTGGGCGTGCGTACCAGCTATACACCCCTGCGTTCGCATCGCTACACCAATCTCAAGGTCGCACAACCGCACCAGGACTGTGTTTCTCTAATACAGGGAGAACAGGCCATCTCCTGTGAGACATTTGGTGGGCGTAGGAACATTGTGCCATTTTCCATTGCCCTCCCTGTTTGTAATGGGAACGAGACAGATACAGTGGGGCTACCCATATAGCGCCCCCTCAATGGCGGCCGACCCCCAACAGCGCCCCGTTTTTTGGCGTGGCGCCATTTTTTAATACACTACGCAGTTCTGCTTTACAACAGGACCGCAGACACATCATGTTGGACACGCAACGCATCCAGAAGAGGTATTTGATAGACCTGCAATGCTCTTGGTCGAGCGCCTGGGAATAGATATAAACATTGTATGAGTTTTACGTTGTAAATATTGTATTTACGTTGTATAACGTTGTTGTAATCGTTACTTTTGGTCACCATCATACCACCGGTGGTCCCTCGCAACCATTCCCGTCAAACAATGTGCAGTGACATGTAAAGTTTGTAGCATGCTGTGAGAGTCATTGTGGGGTTTGAGATATTGAGACATTCTGTCAAATATTGCCTTGCAGTAAAAATTCGGAACCCACCAGTGGCATAATCGTATCGATCGTATTTTTGCAAGTCGTTTGAAGGAATTGAATCTATCGCTCCGGTGCAAGCCTCCAACACAGTGCTCCAATGCTGTGCCATCACGGCTCAGGGCATGCCAGTTGATGGATCAATTTGGCATTTAAAAGCCTATTTTACTGCCAAATAGTATTTTCTTTTGTAAAGATTGATGTGGAGTCTTATTTGATGGATTAATCTATGATTAAATTCAATAATGTTCAATAATTTTGAGCGCCCGGCGGCCAATAGCACCCTGGTTCTGGCCATGTCACGGGTGGGCGCTATATGGGTGCTGTGATAGACAGGAGCGCTCCACACCAGAAGGTTGCCAATGGTCTGTGCGCTGCTCAGCATCTGGTGGCTCTCATCATCTGTGGCGTCAGTGGAAACGAGTTCCTGATATACAAGAAAAGAGGAAGAAAGTATGCTATTCCTTTGTAATGAAAGAAGGTAAAGGCTGATGTGCAGATTTTTATCATCAATACCTGTGGTCTTTTTATAAAAGACCACAGGTATTGGTTATAAAAATGAACGTGTTATTTGGTCCTTTTCCTGCTAGTGTTCAGCTCCACACTAGCAGAAAAGGGACCAAATAACACGTTCTGCGAACACATACCATATTTACCCGGTATTGGTAGGCGTGTGCTGGGCCCTCAAAATGGGCGGTGGACACTAATGGTCAAAAGCAATGAACTCCCGCCAATCTTTTGGCGAAACACTTTGATGTGCATATGGAGGTCCCTAGTGTCTGTACATATAGCCTTTCAGCATCCTGGGTGGTTGGCATCTGAAGTTTTGGACGGTGGCGTCTTTCAAAGCGTCGTGAACAGCCCTGACAGGCCGTCGTGGAGGGAGTGCCCGCCACCTCCATTTCTGGCCGTCTCTCTGCTTCTGTGCTTAAGGCTGAGAGCGCCTTCCTTCCAAGCTTTTCGCAGTGGCTTCGCCAGCCTCCCGCACCCGTGAGCGGTGGTGGAGTCTTCTGAAAGGAAACTCGATGGTGAACTTGGCCGATTTTCGGATTTCCGATCTCCAGATGGGCATCTGGTTGGTCAGGGAAATTCACAGTGGGGATCGGCTCACGGCGTTCCTCTTCAGGAAGAAACAAACAGGCAAACAAACAGTGGGGATCGGCGATCGGGAGATTTTCAGGCCCGGTTGCACCGCCTCGCCTCGTCTGAGGGACGATCCGACCTGACGTTCCAATGTTGGCAGCAGATATCCATTTCTTGGTGTGCAACGTCAAGTGCAAAGCCACGCTCTCCTTGGGTCGGTTTTGGCGGCCACCAGCCCCGACCTTGAGATTCTCCAAAGGTGATGGCCACCACATTCCCAAGGGTCTGCGAGGAAGTTGGGAGGGTTTTGCAGTATTCCTTGTAGTGGAGTTGAAGGTCCAAAAAGTTGTGGTCCAGAAATTTGGACCCGATGGGCATCTCTGATTTGGCCAATCGAGCTTGAATTGCAGCTGCAAGACACGGCGATTTCCACATTCAGAACTTTCTAAGTGCATTTTCTGTTGTCCTTCTCCTTTGCAAGCACCTCCGCGATCTGCTATCCAAACGGTGTTGATAGTTGTGCCCGGGCGGCTCCGTAGGTTTCTGGCAGGATGACCCTTGCGACAAAGTGCTGCCAAATCCGCAACACTCAACGCATTGACTTGAAATT